ACTCAACAACAACCTAGTGCAGTTATCTATGAAGTGCCAAAGATTAAATACCCTTCCAGTCATATTGCAGATTTACAAAGTATTTCCCGAGTTCTCATTGAAAAACTTTATAATCGGTTCCTCTATCACAGATATGTAGATAGTTTTAGATACGTTCCACATCGCATAACAAAATATTACCTCCCCCTCTCTCTCTCTCTCTCTCTGGAAGGGTATCACAACAACACTGCAACGCAACGAGGCGTGGCATCTTTTGTTCCGCCCGCAATATAAAAGAGCAGCACAGAAAACAACAAAAATCGAATTGCGAACTTGTTTGGGGCGGAGGACGTGTTTTGCCATAGAAGACACAAACAATTGTTGTTCAGCTAGCACTAAGAAGCACAACAAAGTAGACAAAAAAGTATTTAACATAAAAGCGACCTAAAGAAAATTTATAATATGGTACAGACTTTTAAGAACTGTGGGAAAACGTAAAGAAAAAAGGAACTTACCTTCGGTATTAACGGTTAGGTTCTCCATATTAGTTGATTCGTTTGGGATTAGATGAAAAATAAGATTAAAGTTGTTACTGAAAAAGAATATTTAAAAATGATAATAAATAAACAAATTATAAAATAAGTATTAAAAGGGGAAAAATTATAAAAAATAAATCTAATAAAAACAGCTAAAATGGGGAAGTTTTAAGAATTTAACATAAATTTATCAGCTCATTAATAAATCAGCATGAAAAGCTTTTAACCGAAATTTAGCTCTGGAACAATTTAAACATCCAGATATTTAATAAACATCCCTCTTAAGAATGTACTCGTTTATAAGTACATGTGCTGTAACTTATTTACGTAACTATTATGCATTTAATAAAATATAAGTAAATAAAAAAAATATCTTTATTATATCTTATCATCTTATTATTATTCATAATCGAATCAATTAAGCCCCAAGTCAGGTACTTTTTAAGCTCCCCTCGTTTGTCACATCGTTTGTGAACACGCACAAAAATACATAGGCTGCTGCTCCGTTATAATACTGCCCACAGCTGCAAGCGAAATGCATAAAACACTCGAGAAAGACGCCCTTGCAGAACGCAAGGAGCAACAAACAACGGCAAACAAAGAGCAATGCCAATAAGAACAGTGACAGGCCGTAACAGCAGCAGCAGCAGCAGCAGCTATAACAAGCACTCGCTCATTACTGTATAAAATAAGAAGAGCAACAACAATAACAAGAACTGCAATAGCGAACGCCGGCCACTGGAAATTGGAAGCAACAAAGCGTGGGCCAAAAAGGAAAAGGAATAGCAGCGCCTGCTGTCAGGGCAACGACAGCGACAGCGACGGCAAAAGCAACTGCAACAACAACTGCAAATTTCAAAGAGCTGCAAAGTTATTGGCGTCGGCGTTTTGCAGCTGTAATTGTTGTTGCTATTGCATTTGCGCAGTAGCAGCCAACAGCGAAAAAGGGACTGCAGCGAACCGGATAAAACGCTTTCCAGTTTCCAATTGCTGTAGCGCCTCATCTACTTACCAGTTTTAATAACTACAAATTTCCACAAAGTATCCAATTAACGTTTATAAAACACACGAAATTTAGTAATTTATTTATAACTATACTTTACACAAACAAATTTATTGAACTGCACTTTTTTTCTTTACTCTTTGAACTTGATTTTATCACGGCGCTCAGCGCTATGTAACGATCGTGTTGACGCAAATTTAACGACTGAGCGACTGAGGCGCCCACCAGGCTGCTTTGTACTCGATCGCAGGAGAAGCGGCACAGTGGGCAATGTTAAATAAATACTCACTCATATGAAATACTGCTGCAGGGGGCTGGTATTGAGTCAGAAAGTTTAAGTATTTAAATTTGTAGAACTTAATAAATAGTGCTCGGCACTTATAATTTAGTTACATTATTTTTCTGAAATATGGTGTTGTAAATTAAGTACATAGCAATAAAAATTGAAAGCAAGCTTAAAATATTTACATGATTGAACTTCGAAACAGGGAGTATGCATAGTATATATATCTTTTACCCACGGTGCGGCATTGGCAGCTGTGCTCTTCAGTTGTTGTTTATAGCTAAGGGAAGCTGCTCCAGGCGCCTTTGGTCTGCTTATGCATTAGCGCGAGTGAGATGACAATTGTGGCACTTGTGTTGTTCGGCACAAACGGTTAAAATTCAAATAACAATTCAAAGTAAAAACGACGTTAGGCAAACCGGTAAATGACGCCTTTAGGGTAAAACGAACGCCAGGAGAGAAGAGAGTTGAGCTGATGAGCATACTTTTTGACAGCTTAGACAAATATTCCATAGCTCAATTGGGGCTTTTTTGTACCTTTTATTGTTGTTGTCATGAACTCATCCGCTTAGATTTATTACGAAATTGAGCAAAAAACTCAAAAGCCATGCATACTTACCATATGTATATGTATATGTATGTATATGTATGTACGAGTGAGTAGGAGTATTGAGCGACTTTTTCGCTAGCTTATCTGTGAATGCAGCAATGTCAACCTTAAAGCAATAAATCAAGAAATAGCAAAGTGCACATAGTTGACTCAAGATAACTGTTACTTCTATGGTTTATGGCTGTACATATGTATGTACTTATTGACAGTGCAAGTGCAGTGAACCCAAAAGCACTAAGACTTAATAAGCTGAGACCCACGCTGAAACAAAAATTAAACAAAGTGCCAGCGAAATTTTCCACCTACACGCCGCCCAACACTCAATTAATTTACCTTTCTTCTTTCTCATTAGACCAAGAGGTCAACACAGTTGAAATTTAATACATACACACGCATGCATATATAGAGTTCGTTTGTATGTACATATGTGTGCGTGCAAGTATGAATGCATGTAAGATGTGTAACAAATCAAATTGAGATCACATAAAAGTGAAATTTGATCGAATTGCTGTAAAACTTGAAACTGAGCATACGCAGCAGGGCGTGGCTGGGCGGTAGCTTAAACACGTTTAGGTGCGTAGACAGACGTTATCAGTGGGGCGCCAAAGACAAATTGCGCGACAATTTTCATTTTCACTTGACGGTCATAAAAATAAAACATGCGTTCAATTCGAATTTGCATTTCTTTTACTTTTTGCTTCATTTATTAATTGGCGCCGCCGGAGCGAGCGAGAGGGAAGCTTAAGCGCTGTTTTGTTTCCCCCGCTCAGACGCCGTTTTACCTTTTGCGGTTGAACAAAAGCAGAAAGCAAAGCGCCGATTGAAACAAAGATGCTGCCCGCGGCTGACTCACAATGAAACAAAAACAACAACTACAGTAGCAGCAGCAGCAACAACAACAACAGCAACAACAAAGAATGGGGAGGCAATAAAAACCGTAATTGACATACAATGTGCGCTGTTGGCATTAAAAATTGCCACCCGAGATCAGCGGCTGCTGCGCCTTATTTGGCAGTGGCTCAAGGCAAAGCACTTTTTTATACCCAGCGAGTCCATCCGGGTTTTAAACGCGACCCCAAGTCACAAAACTCTGCGCTGAAGTCCTTTTGGATTATCGTACAACAACAAAAATGACAATAAATTCATAAATACTAACATATTCACCAACGCAGAATAACACAGTGGACTCGCATTGGAAGTGCGCAGTGTTTAGAAAGAGGGAAAGATAGGTAAAAAGACGGAAAGAGTTAGAGAGAATCGAATTTACAGTTAGAGAGAGAGAGCAAGAAAGAGAGCACAAATAAGCAGACGATGTAAGCTGCAAGTTCGATTGCGATAAACAAGGCTGAAGAGTGGGAAAGGGGGAAGGGAGAGCTTTCTGTTGTTCGCGATAACAATTCGAATTGAAAATATTTTGTATTAATTATAATATTTTAGATAAGTTATTATAAGCAAAACATGCATTTCAAAGTAGTTATTATATAATAAAATATGAATAGTAATTATAATAGAATAATACGTACATTTATTTGTTTGGAAAATGTATATGTCGACAAAAAATTTCGTTGACATTTCGCCATGTTTCAATTCTAAAAACTGTGGAATTATGATCATTTTATATTTTTCATTTAAAGTTACCGCTTGCCTTCGTTGATATATCAGCTCTTTATGGTTATGATACTTTCAAATTTTTCACATCGATAAAAATATCGATTAATCATCGCAAAAACACGATATGTTTGGGCGCGAATTTAGACAATTTTCAAAAATGTGACATTTTACGCACAATTTTCGCTTTGTGCTTAGGGTCTTGCTAAAATTTGATATGTGGCTTGTTATCTCTTATGAGCCCAAATTTAAGAGCACTGTTCCGCAAGTGACTACTCAAAATATCACCGACAATTTTCCAAATTTTACAGTGGGTATTATGTTCTGATTTTCCTACGAAGTTAACGGCTTCCGCCATACTCTAATAGGTCCTTTATTGTAATAAATCAATTGGATGAGAAATATGCATATACATATGCGAAGTACAGTCGTTTTTCCATGTTTATTTTAGAAAGTAGCGGTACTTATTGCGAATCGACTTCATCCTTCAGTTCCCTGGCAAGAGCTCTGGTTTAGATCTGAAGATTTAGAGCCTCCTTTCTCTTCATTAGACGCTCTGCACGCTTCTCTTTTTTAGGCTAAGACTAGTCAAACTGAGTAATATTTGTGTGTTGTTTTTTTTTTGATTCTTATTGTTAAAATTGCATTTTGATGTTACTGTTTCTTTAAAAATAGCACCACTAACTATAAATTCCCAAAAGCGGGTTAAAAATTGCAGGCGCTCATATTTTTAGTCTAAAAGTTGAAAAAGTATATGTCATTCTTGACATACTGTAAGCAGGTCAAGCAAAAGTTGATTTATTTCAATATATCAAGAAATAATAATTAAAAAATCATAATAAAAACAAGAGAACAGAGCAGAATTTCCAAGTCTGTTCGTTCAAATCATTTCAAAACTATATCACTATTTATATATATATATATATATATATATATATATATATCGTATATAATATATATGTATATATTTCCTATTTTTAAGAAGCGTTAGTTTTTACTTATAATATTGTGAGCTTGTTATCCAAGAAGTATTCGTGTTTTATATACACGAATACATTAGTAACATAATTTCTAGAATTAAGGTATATTAGATACAAGAATTGAGGAAAATTGAAAAACTCACAGATCATCCCTAGGAAGTTTTCTGTTGTGGACGGGCTACTGGTGAGCATTGTATGCCTGGTTGAATGGATTATGCCACTCCGAGTTGTTGCCAATGGGAACATGAAGATTTTCGAGCTGTGTCAAAATCGAGCTCCAATCGTTGGCAAACTGATCAGTCGAGTTGGCTGAATCGTAAGCCTGATCCATGGGAGATCTGTTGAGGTTTAGGTTCAGGCATATGCTGCCAAAGCAATAGGAAATGTAGCCGCCGCAGGCGCCCAGCTTGTGCATGGAATCGTCATCTATGGCCATGGACAGGTGCAAGAGATGGCCATTGACAGCTCTGCGTATTATTCTCCACTGTCTGGTATTGATGGGATTTTGTGCGTTTATCAATGCCAGCACCTTGTCGTCTGGCAGCTGTGCACTATCTGGAAAGTAGCCATCGATCAGATTTCTTGGAACTTGTTTATCCTCCAGCAGCTCTACGTTCAATCCGCTCTCTTGCCGTATACGAGCGAAATTGTGACGCACCCAGTCGGCCGTCTTCCGGTTGGCGCAGACGAGCAGCAGCCACTCGGACTGCGGTGCACAGTCCTCGAATTGTGGGAACACATTCGGCGTTCTGTGGCTGACGGTCAAATCCAGTATCACCTGCTGCAGCCGGACCATGTGCTCGGCAGTGAGTGGAGGCGATCTGTTCGTCGCTATGAAGGCCAGTTTGTTTAGACTGCAGCACTTCTTTGACGCCGGCAGAACGTTAGATCGCTGTGACCTTGCATCCGCCTCTGCTTTTCTCTTTGCTTTCCTCTTGGCTCTCTTCTCTGCTTTCTTCTCTGCTTTCTTCCTGGCTTTCTTCGTTATTTTCCTTGTCGCTTTGACTTCAGCTGACTGAGTACGCTTTTGATTTGGCTGTGCCTTAGCCGCCGCACCGGACTGCTGTTGCTTCTCCCGTTTCTTCAATTTGGCCAAATCTACTTTAGAGTCCATCTGGGCCGGCGTCTGTGTTCCTTCGGCATGTTCCAGTTTGGGCGGCTTTGCGTCCAAAACGCATTTGTCGACTTCCTTCTTGATACTGCTGGCTTCCAAGTAATGCTGCGACATTGTTTAAATTCTATTTCTGGCTTAGTTTAATCTAAACATATGTTATCATCCTATTTCTATGTACAATTTGAAAGCGTGCTTATGCACTATTGTGACTGCATTTGGCAAGCAAGAGGAAGAGCTTTGCAGTGACTGGCAGAAGCTATAAGAAGCAGAATTCTGCATAGAAATGGCAATTTGTCGGAATTTGAATTTACTGTAAATTGTAAATTATTAACATATAAAAAATAAAAAAAATTGCAGTATTATGTTCTTGATTGAAGACAATATAAATAATTATATATTTATAAATTATACAATTTTAAATATTTATATTGTCTTTGGCATTACCTAATATGCTATACGAAATGGAAAAACATGCATTTATATACAAACTATATATAAGCTAATTATTATGTACATTTCCTAATTATATCAATAACGCTTTGCACTATTTAAAAACTACTATTTGCCTTTAGTAAAACTAGTTTCTCTATTGGGTAATCGGCGGGATCAGATCGTCTTAAATATCTGTGCACCAGTGATAAGACGCGTTCAACTGGCGCTGATGAAGTTAAGGGCGTATTATACTTTAGCGCCAGGTCCTGGAGCAGAGGATACTTTTCCAGTATCTCGAATGTTGTGCCCGCATCCCGTAGATAACTATGGAACTGTGCCTCAGCATCATCCATAAGCTTTGTCGCCGCCGGCAACGGCGACGGCTGCGACATATCCAAATCGCTTGTCTCGCAGCCATCATCTGGGAATAATAAATGAAACGTTCAAAATGCGACAAACATTGTTAGGCTTATGTGAATCTACCAGTTTCATCGAATTCATAGAAATCGTCCTTTTCCTTTGGGTATGCTGATTCCAGCGCACTTTGATAAGCATTCTCTGTGGCTTTGGCATGCCGCACGGCCTCGGCAATAACTATTTTATGTATGTCGTCAGCGCTGCGTTCGTGGACAGAGACCTTGGCTAGGGCATTGAACCAACGCATTTTAATGCTTGGGCATAGCACTGATGCTATAATTGCACTGTTCGCATCCTCAGCGAGGTGAACATATCTGGCAAAACGTTCCTTTAATTTTAGCTGTAGCTCAAGCGCCACAATTTTCAGATCGATGAGCTCGGAGGAATCCGACACTCTCTTTAGCTTAACGCAAAGGGACGTCAAGGCAGGTATGAGACAGCCATAAAACAAATTGTTCTCCATTCGCAAGAACTCAATGGTCGTTGCAATGGGACCCATTAGTATGCGAAATTCCTCCAGATATTGTATATCGCTTGCCGAGAAGCACGAGTTGTGCAAAGACAATTTGCTGCAGAGCTCGGCCAGTTTTTCCTTATGCGACAATATGCAGCAAACGGCATCATATATGGAATTCCAGCGAGTTATTGTGGGGATAATTAAAGCTTCGCCTAATACTGCTGCGATAGTCTCTGCCGACTTGGGGCAATCGCATTTACGCCACAACAAACTGCACTTTGCAAAAATCTAAAAGAAACTACAATTAAACAAATATGTTTGCTGGCAATAAATATGAACATTACCCTAGAATGTCGCTCCTTCAAGGACTTGTCCATGGAGAGGAGCTGCACAAAATCTGCAGATGCTAGGACATTTAGCGTATGGCTTGCGCATCGAATATGATTTGGTAAAACATTGCACGTTAATTCCATGGAGTTCGCATTAGACTCACAATCGCTTTCATACTCATGCGCATATTCTTTTCTTATATCTTTGCTATTGATGCCGAACTCATGAATGGCTCTTGAGAAATCTGAGCAATTGTGCGTTACTGTGGCCACAATCTTCAGATTGTTCAGCTCGTAATCGTTGTTAATGCTGCTTATCATTTCCAAGATCTGAGCATAATCACCCGAGAATCTTCGGCAGGCTAAAGCAACTGAATGCCTTTGATACTTGTGATCCAGCCAGTGGCAGGTATACCCAAAAAAGCTGCAGTCTCTAGTTGGCCAGATATCGGCGGATGTGCATACATATTTGTTTGTTGCAATCACATTTTTAATGCTGTTGACAATCTGCGAAAAGCGCGCATCCAGACGCATTTCCAGCTTGGAGCGACCAATGAGCCGCAAATTGGTGCCCTTAAACAAATTGCGAAAACTATCCGTTTCGACGATTGACAGCGGCGACGCCGTGTCTATTATATAGCACATGACTCTATGATCGAACGATTCGGTTCCTTGTACTTCTGGCGGTTCGGTAATGCCGCTCTGCTTGGCTCCTATGAATGCCGCATGGATATCCGTGTGCTTCAGACGCAAATGCTTTATGAAATTTGATGTAACCGTGACGAAGCCCTTGATGCGACTGTGACACGCGTTGCAGGTAGCACTTATTGCACCCGGTTTGGCACTCGACTCCTGTACCTAAAAGCACATATAGCATAAGTTAAAGAATGGAACCATATTTTACAATGCTCACTCTCTCAATATTGCCAAAAAATCGAAATATCTCCGGCAATTTCATCTGTTTTTTACGTTTTGCTGATACATTTTCGGCACTTCTCCTGCCAAGGCGCTGCAAGGGCGTAAATTTTCGTTTTCGAACTGAATCATCCAGGTCCATATCGTATTCGGATATATACTGAAAGAGTATAACATTTGATCAATACAGCAATAATTGCATTTCACAATAAGCAATTATATAGCAGTAACAATAATTAAAATAATGAGGCACAGCAGATAGAAACAAACAATTAGCTTAATTAGATAATATATTAGAGTATAATGAACTTAAGTAATTGCTAGCAGAGTAATTACTTTGCCTCTGCTGCGCTTTGTTGTTCTGCCAAGGCAAAAAACAAAAACAAATTCAATTGAAACGTCTCACCAAGAACGTACCTCTGTTTCCTCAGAGCCAGTGTCCAGCTGTTCCCTTGGCGCTTGCCAATTGGCCATTGCCTCACTGCTCTGCCAGACTACGTCCGGATGCTCCTGCTCAATCTTGATGCCAACCGTCGAAGCGCTGCTCTGCGCCAGTTGCCAGTTTAATTGCTCGGCTGCAAATTCTGTGGTGGCATTGCAGTCCAGAGCTTCTGTCTTGATGCTGCTACCATCTGCCATTTTGCCAATATTTAACATTGTTGTCAGCTGTTATTGTTGCTTAAAGATACATGTTTTACAATGCAGGTAAACGCATTTAAAACATTTTTAAAATTGTATTCAAGCACTGAGTAAATAACAATTAGGTGCTGTTGCCAATGGCATGCCAACTTGTGTTAAATTATGTGTTGTGTTGGGAATGAGCGCAGTGAATGGCAAAAGGTGTAAGAAGAAGAGCCGTTTACAATGCGCGCCAATATGAAAATTCAAATTGCTTAAAGTTGCAGCGAGAATGAAATAGTGATGCGAGTTACATTGATAAGTTATTCATGCCAAATGCAATTTGGTTATATTATATATAGATACATATATAAATACAAAATGAATGGCAAAGCTTTATTTTTTATACATTTTTTGTTGTATTCCATAAGTCATGGCATTTTCTTTTATCAATTTTGAAAAGTTTCTTAGCATTATGGCCAAATAGTTAGGGAGCCAAGTTTAAAAACACCGTGCTGTCAACAGCTTTCGGCGCAATGCAGTTGCTTTTGCCAGTTACTATTAGATTTCCAGCTAAATTGCGTATACCCTGTGAAGCTGCAACGGATGCGGGTATTGAAAGTATAAAAAATGCCAGCTTCGATAAATAGGGAAAATTCGTTTGGTTTTGCTGCCACCAGGTCATGACATCAAAATATCGGTCATAGTGCTCTATATGGCTCGAGTAACGTTCAATTTCATAGTTAACCCAATCTTCAAGTGAAAGCTTGGGCGTATGGATTAGGTGAGAGAAGAAAAACTTGAAATCGGTATATTTATCTTCAGGGTTATTGGAGTCAATTGATTGCATCGACGTATTTGAATTCTCTTCGTTTAAATCTCTCGATTTCCAGTTATTCGTATTGTCTTCTTTAATATCATTTGAATGGGAATCCATTGTTTGAGTCTCCGTATCCGAGTTCTCTTTTTTGATATTATGTGAACTTAGGCTGAGACGCTCTAAAATTTCTTTTCTACAGAATTCTTTTGCCCCTTCCTGTTTGTCTTCTATGTATTCCTTTGCGGGTGGATATAAAAAATTAGCAACCCGGTGATAGACACTCAACTTCGAGGTCCACGCATTCAAGTTACTTAAAATGTTTTGTTTAAACTCAGCAATTGCCGCAATATCATTCGGATCTAGTGTACAAAGTACTTTCAATTTGTTTATCGATGGCAGGACAAAGCACAGGGAAGGATAGCTGGCGTCCTGTAATTTATGCAATATTGTATTGAAATCTTGATATAATCTGAGTAGGGACTGAATTGTGTTTATATTAATATCACCAAGTAGAGCATCTTGATTTGAATCAGCAAGTATCTTTGTTATTTTTATCCAATGCTCTGCTATAAATTTGAACATAACAAAATTTGAATTCCAACGTGTCGTGCCCGGACTTCTCAGTATTGATGGTAAATTGTGATAGCTGTTCGAATTTTTAAAATATTTTACCAGCTTTTTACAATTTTGAATTATCCCCTTCAGTTCGCTTGAAGCGTCTTCTGCGAGCTCCAAAACATTTGAAAGCAATTCGCTAGAACAATTTATGCGTGTCAAATTGCGGAAGGGTTTCCTTTTCAGGTCTTCACTCTCAGTTACAAATATCAATTTATCAAGATCCTTGATGCCGAATTCAGCCAACATATTTTTTAATTTACTGAGAATGAGCTCATCGTTTGTACGACTCAAGTCCATGGACTTAATGCCTAGTGCTATGTTTTGCAGCCTGTTGTCTTTTTGAAAGTGAAGACTAGCACATAGAAAGTTACGCTTTACATACATATCTGTCCACATGTCCATGGTGACGGAGGCTTCAATTCTGTTGTCAATTCTCTGCTCCAAAAATGCTTTCATCTCTACTTTTTTCATATGCGCCGTTTTGTTCAGTTGGCGTGAAATGGTGCCCGCTTCGGGTATCAAATCATCTATTTTTATATTCTCACCGTATTTTGCACCGATTTGTACGAGAAACTTGGCCAGCTTATGAAACCCGGCACCTTCTATAATGCTATAGGGACGGCAATCGGCAATTATCCACTGAGCGCAAGCCTCAAGAGCTGCTTTCTTATCCTCAATCGTTATGGGCTTATGGTCCTCCACGCCAACATAGAAACATCTATGCCGATTCAGATTTGATGTATGTTTGCCATCATATTTAAAGAGTCGATTGCACTTCCGGCAACACAGATAACCATCCAGTATGGTGCCGTCGGATTTACGTACATCTGCAAATAGATCCCAGACAGGGCTTCTGCCCATGCGCTTGGGTAGGAGCACGTATGTTCCATTTCGTATTTTCTCTGAAATATCGTTTGGCGTTTCCATTCTGTAAAACAAAGAGAAAATTATGATTATAATAAGCAAATATTACTGAAAATATAAATACTTATCAATTTATACATAAACTTATTATAAATACCCATTAGATTTGTATGCTCATCTGGATGTGGAAGGCTAATCTACAATCTATCCGAAACTAAAACTATTCCACATGAATATAATGCAAATTATTATAGCAATACATTTACAATTGGCAATTATGTACACATTTATTAAAAGCTTAAAGATATTTAAAAGAAACATACTAACTAAGGACAATAAAACTATGCTATTTCTTAAAACATTTGATAGCCTCCAGCTTTTTCAATTCGATTTCCTCCATTCTTTTGAAATGCTGTAGCATTACATTCGTCTGCTCGGCCATGTTGGAGCGTATTGCGTCCAAGCTATCGGCAACGCGCGTCATTAATGCATTTTGCGCACTACAGAGCTCCTCCAGATTTTCCGTGTGCCGATTGCGTTTGCGATTCTTGTCCATAACATCGTCATCCAAATCTGCGGATTGATCACATTTCGCTTTGTCAGCGTTATTCTTCATCGATTTCTTGGGCAGGTCCATGGATGTGCTGTTATTCTGCTCATAGACGTCGACAATTTCATAGGAACCGCACAACTGGGCCAGCGTGTCCTCCGTGGGCTGCAAGCTAGGTGCACCGCTAAAGGAATAACGACGCTCAGGCCTTGCCTTTGGCATGTCATCGTGCTCGCTGGGATAACCAAAGGATTTGCCGCATCTAACTACTTCCACCTTATCGTAGAAGCCGCACAATTGAGCAATTGTCTCCTCCGCGGGCGTTAACACCACATGCTGGGTGCCGCCTCCAAGGCCAGCTGAGTCCTTTTTAATTTGCAATAGCTTCTTTTTAATGGATATCTTCCAGTCCGACCAGACCTGTAAATAATGTATGCATTAATTTATGAGACATTTCGCAATCCAGAAACTATATATATATATTCAGGATCTGTTATATGTTTTTATGTGAATTTGTCTCTGAGTTGGAAAGCTTTCTGTTGCAGTCAGTACATATGGCAGAACCGGCCGGATCGAAGTACTATAGCATATAGTAGACATCGGAAAGATCAGTCGAAAATGAAGAATTTTATAGTTCGTCAAAATATCTTGACCAAATCCTTTTACTTGCTCCTTGAATATGAGTCAAATCTTTTTAGATCGTGATTCGGTTAAAAAATTCGTTTTTTCGGTTTCTTCTAGATATCTTCACCAAATGCGACAAGGGTATTTAATCTTCGGCCTGTCCAAGCTATGGGCTTCTTTCTTTGTGTTTGTTTTGATGTGCCTTAATACCTTTTTCCAGGAAGATACATTTTTGAATGGCGGTCCTTCGGCATTCAAATCCACTGAAAGACTGCACCATTTTGCGTCCACGACAAAGCGTTCGCCTTTGAAGAGTCCTTTGGCAATGTCCGGATGTTTTGTCATGAATGCAATGAGTATATTGCCCTGCTCTCGGTTTTTGTGTGTGCGCCTGCAAAAAAACAGAGTGTAGTTAATAAATGAGACCGTGATATTGGCATTTAACTTACATTTTGATAGTTAGTTTTTTTTTTGTATTTATATCAATTGTGCCGTTGGCAGTGTTGCACATTGCCAAAAGCAAATACTTTATTTTATTTTTATATAGATATATTTTTTTAGCAGGGCACGATGTTTGTTTACACAACCAATTAATTTACATAAAAGAACACAACTCTACATTAAAGATAGACAGATCGACAGGTTTATATCATATTGCATAGAATTGTTGCTGCCAATTTCAGCACGGCGTTATACAGCACTGTGCGCACAAATTGTTATCCTGATGCCACCCCTAAACAATTCAAAGGCGGCACCGAATTTTTTCTTGAAAATATATACATATACGCAAATCAATATTGTTTAATAATACAACCGGGGCCAAGTTAGAGAGATTTGAGATATGCACATTTGCGATTTAAATTCGGTAGCTCAGAGAGAAATAAACTCACTTGCCGAAATGTGAGCGGAAATTAGAAAACGGTACAGTTGGCGGAATTGCATTACCGCAAGTTCGTACCGAAACGGGAAATAAATCTGCTATGATTAAAGGCATAAAGGGCATATTTATAGCAATACACTGGGGTGGAGACTACATTAGAAATTGCAACCACGAAGAGACAGCACTGCAGATCATTCGGGCATATATGTTTATATAGAGATGCACACGTATGTAACGTAGTTAGCTTAAGATTCACTCACTTCTTTGGTCGATCTTGCTCGATGCGGGCCTTCTTGGACGGCGTCTCCGTCTCCTCAGTGCTCTCGTAGTCTGTGCTTATGTCCTGCTCAATTTTAATTGGCCCAATGTCAAGATGCGCTGCCGCTGCCGCCGCCGCCGCCAATGGATCATCCGTATCCTCGCAGTCATTGTGCGGCAATATCTTGCGGGCTTTTGCTATGCTGGCCATTATTCGATTTTTCACTTATCAAGTATTTGACGACTGACTAAATGCCACAGCGGAGCCCGTATGCTTTGTTTTTGTCAGCGAATTCGCAAATGCAGTACTGCAATTTCTCGGCGGCTGTGTGTGCAGCTCGATAACTCGACTGACTTATCGATAACAATCAGCTGTCACTGTTAGAGAGGCAGAACAAAAACTATCGGCACATATTTCAAAAATATGTTATTCAGTAACATTTATTTGATGTATTAAAAACGTGTAAATTAGCATGAGATAGTATATTATTTTAATAAAACAAAAATACACGTATCTCAATAAAT